TTAAAACTTAGTAAATTGCTTGCAATGATTGGTAGTGTTTTCTGACAATCATCCATCATGCCTGTACTGATACTAGGTCGGATCTCACCTGTTTATAAAACATTGCAATTGACAAATTTATTTCAAAAGCATCAATGTGCATTTTAGACATGTATACTGGTATTTCTTGGAGTTCTTGAGTTATGGTTGGGTGAAGATTCCTTTTAATGACATGTACAGAAGTGAAGATTCCTTTTGATGACATGTACAGAAGTGAAGATTCCTTTTGAAGATATGTACAGTATATTTGAGGATTAAATCCTATGTCAGACAGCTAAATCCCTCTGGAAATAGACAAAACTTCTTGTAATTATTGAATTTCACAGCAATATAACTGCTCCATCAGACCCAGCTACCAATCACATGCAACTTTCACTTATTTGCTTATTTTAAAGTTTATTGGATTTGGTCATTTGACCTGACTCAAGTGTCTTTAGAATTGTCAGGTGACTGTCATATGCACTTAGGATATAAGTATTTACACATTTTACATGGAGTTACAAGTATAGTCAGACATCAGATTCTGAAACTGTACATGTCAATAAAATACACCTTCCACTGATCTTAACTCAGGAGACAAGAGAAATACCAGTTGCGCACTGTTGTATTGCAGACAGACTTGACTATGTCTATTGTATGATTTTATGAAGAGATAAGATCAATCCCAAACCATGCGTAAGTATCAGTACAGATTTGAGGTAGTGATGAGTCCTACAAACCTTACATCAGGACATGGGAGAGAGCAAGTGAGCAGAGGTCTCACATGTACAATTTAAACTAAAGTTTCATATTTTGAACATCCTTATAATGGGGCTAAGGTGTTAATTAAGTTTTTAGGGAAAATCCCTAATAAATACTTTATGCTGCTGTGAAACAAGAAATTCTGGATTAACTTGCCGGAAGTGGTATTCCAACACAGTTTGAAAAAATATTAGAAATGGCAACATGACCCATTTTAATCCCCAATTAAACTTTAGAAGTAGTCATCCTTCATTAATTTTTTAAAAAATTGTAAGAAAGTTATAAAATATAATTATTATATAACATAATAAGCATCACATCCTACACATTAATTAATAACTCCATGTACATAACTCCATAACTCCACCTTAACTAGACCACATTGTTTTAATTGCTCCTTAACTATCATATCATGTAATTACTGCATTCTTTGAACTTTGAAATTTGTGATAAACCAATCTGCTTTTAAGTAAGTATCATATGAAATAAATCTGAAAGTTACATTATAAATACATCAGAATCTAATTCAGTTTCTATTATTCTCTATCTGGTAAAGAACTGGATATCTGAGTTTCTGGCTGTAATGTTATACTCTATCTGGTGAAGAACTGGATATCTGAGTCTCTAGCTGTAATGTTATACTCTATCTTGTAAAGAACTGGATATCAGTCCCAAGCTGTAATGTTATACTCTATCTGGTACAGAACTGGATATCAGTCTCAAGCTGTAATGTTATACTCTATCTGGTACAGAACTGGATATCAGTCTCTAGCTGTAATGTTATACTCTATCTTGTAAAGAACTGGATATCAGTCTCAAGCTGTAATGTTCACTAAGCCTCTAGATATTCAATGAGTATAATGAGTATAATATCAGTAAAATTCACTTTCATTCCCCATTCAGATTTTCATTCTGCATTCTGATCAAAGTACTGAAGGTACTAACTGCTTGAAAGGATTGACATGACAGTGTAATGAACATGATCACAAGGCTAAAAATAACTTTTGCAATATTCATACAGACTCCTGTTTTTATGATGACTAAAAAAGTACTAGTCTAAAATAGTTTTATCAGACTTACTGTATGAATACATGCTTTGATATATTTTTCCTCATTCTCTTCATCAGTCAAACAAGAATGAACATAACATTATTTATATTCAGTGTCATTATTTCTGTCTGGAAATCAACAACCACTTTACAAACTTGGACAAAGTATTCCCACACCTGCACAATACAAATAAGGAAGAATATCATATGACACTCTTAGATAACCATTAGTACATCTTCTGGAGAAGCACGGAAGGGGCTTGTTATCCTCTTCCACACCTGGTGATCAAAACAACTGAATATTTCAACAACTTTGCTGGAAAAACATTTACAATAAATATTTATGATTAACTTAATTCTAGTTAGCAGGTGTTGCATTCATTTCTTGTTTTACCTGTGCTCCATAGTAATTGAATAAAGTAAAAAAGGTGGCAAAAGAAAGAAATCATGACCAAAAAAATGTATTCAATATTTATTACAGGTCAGAATAATCTTTCTGAAATATGGCTGTTGTTCAGTGTCTAACTGTTCCATGCTACCAGCACAAACACACACCTGCATAATCTCCATGGTCTCATAATCCTTATTGTCTCATAATCCCTATGGTCTCACAATCTCTATGGTCTCATAATTCATGGTCTCATAATCTCCATGGTCTCATAAACCCAATGGTCTCATAATTTCTATGGTCTCATAATCTCTATGGTCTAGTACTCCCTATAGTGTCATAATCTCTATGGTCTCATAATCCCTATTGTTTCATAATCTCCATGGTCTCCTATGGACTCATAATCCCTATGGTCTCATAATATCCATGGTCTCATATTCTCCATGGTCTCATAATCCCTATGGTCTCATAATCTATATGGTCTCATAATTCCTATGGCCTCATAATCTCTATGTTCTCATAATCCCTATAGTCTCATAATTTCTATGGTCTCATAATCTCTATGGTCTAGTACTCCCTATGGTCTCATAATCTCTATGGTCTCTTCTGCATAAGCAAAACTGAAAATTCTTTGTCAGCTCTCCTCAATTTTCATACCGGGATTACTAAACACTACTGATGGCATCCATCAAATGCTTAGATTACAATAGGAATATTCCACCCATAGGTCAGAATTTGTCATTAGACATGACAAAAAATTTTTATTGCTGAGGGTGGAATTTTCCATTCCAATGAATCATATAGAGGGATTTCTATTCTCACATTTCTGAACAGAAATTTGAGGGCTAAAGTTCATATAATGTATTGTGAATTAATGTTTATCTTGGTGACTATAATAGAATCTTGAGGTGACAATAGAATTTGGGAAGTTTCTGCACATAACAAAAAACTCTAAATAGTTCAGTGTCTCAACAAAGGTCATGTGAGATTGGATAGTGCCTGAATCCTTCATCAGTGTTTTATGCTGGAAAACATGATCATACACATATAGGAATGTTAGAATAATGAATCCCTCACATTGTTTCACTCACCCTTGATTTACTAACACTTTTCTCTATGTTTTCTCATTCCACTCAATGCACATCACATCAAATTTTAAAGCAATATTTCAAAATAATTCATTAAATTATCCTTTAGAATAAACAATGCTTGAACATCCAATAAAACATTACAAGTATATATTCTTCCAACCACAACAAAAAAATGGTCACTTCTCTGTGGCGGCTTCTCACTTCCTCCAATTTTGTTTGGTGGGAGAATTGACTTTTTTTTAGTTTTCAAGCTCAGTGATAATCTCTGTAAAACTAATAATTTCAAAACAAATACATGGTTAAGCTTAAACCACTACACCAATTTTCAAAACTCTGGGCATGACGTTACATACATAGGCTGCAACCCATCTGGGCTTGAGTTAAACAACAAAAACTTAAAAGTATCAACTTCTTTAATTGTAAAGGTGACAGAGATGTATCTAATCTTAATGTTTGTTAATTCTAATGCATGTGTTTGTCATGAAACAAATGCTTTGAATTCATTAAATAGGTACTGATCTTTAAATAACTGAAACACGTGGGACTCCAGGTGGCTGAGTGATCTAAGGTGCATAGCGTTACTGATCACTGACATCGCACACCATTACAGATCACTGACATTGCACACCATTACCGATCACTGACATCACACACCATTACCAATCACTGACATCGCACACCATTACCGATCACTGACATTGCACTCCATTATAGATTACTGACATCGCACACCATTACCAATCACTGACATCGCACACCATCATCGATCACTGACATCACACACCATTACCAATCACTGACATTGAATACCATTACCAATCACTGACATCACACACCATTACCAATCACTGACATCGCACACCATTACCGATCACTGACATTGCACACCATTACCAATCACTGACATTGCACACCATTACTGATCACTGACATCACACACCATTTCTGATCACTGACATCGCACACCATTACTGATTACTGACATCACACACCATTTCTGATCACTGACATCGCACACCATTACCGATCACTGACATTGCACACCATTACCAATCACTGATATTGCACTCCATTACAGATTACTGACATCGCACACCATTACCAATCACTGACATTGCACACCATCATCGATCACTGACATCACACACCATTACCAATCACTGACATTGAATACCATTACCAATCACTGACATCACACACCATTACCAATCACTGACATCGCACACCATTACCAATCACTGACATTGCACACCATTACTGATCACTGACATTGCACACCATTACTGATCACTGACATCACACACCATTTCTGATCACTGACATTGCACACCATTACTGATCACTGACATCACACACCATTTCTGATCACTGACATCGCACACCATTACCGATCACTGACATTGCACACCATTACCAATCACTGATATTGCACTACATTACAGATTACTGACATTGCACCTCTGTCTGTGTGTGTTCAAGGCTAATGAGGGTATGAAAGAAAGCTTCCCAGTAACATTCAATGGGACTGTGGTTCTTTTTCTTCCTTCACCAGTTACACTGGCTGCAATGTATAGCCTATCATGTGCTGAAAATAGCATTTAGCCCAAAACAAGGAATGAATCAAGTATTTTCCCCCCACACCATTGTTTCAAGTCATATGAAAATCAAGATGAATGCAGCAGACACAAATCTGCTTCGGTGGCCTAGTGGTTGGAGCATCTGCCTCAGATGCGGGAGGTCACAGGTTCAAATACTGGCTGAGTCATACCAAAGACTTTAAAAAAATGGTACTAACAGCTGCCTCGCTTGGAGCTCAGCATTAAGAGGTTAGTATTAGGACTGGTCAGCCTGGTGTCAGGATAATGTGACTGGGTGGGACATCATGCCTCATATTTGCGGCATGATGCCACAGTGTCACACTGCAGATTGTAGCAATATGACTGAAAAATTGTTAAAGCAAAGTTAAAAATCTAAATCACACACACACATACACACAACAGACACAAATAGCACAGTTTGTGGTCAGTAGAATAATTTCTAGAAACTTTATTAAACAAGCTCACTCATCAAAGAAATATGCCATATAAACATTCACTTCTAAACTGACAGCTTACTGAAAATAATTAATTCAGAATTGAATTTGTCTTATTAGTGCAACATTTTTAAAAAATTGGATAATCCTTGCTAATATTTGAAACTCTAGACTTCGGCAGTACAAAATATTATCAATTCAAATACAGAAAAATCATATGTGGTATACATTGTGTTTATATAGCTCATCACAAACACAATACTGGTATCTACCAGGTACATTCAATTTTACAATCTGAAAACATTAAATTAAATTAAATATTACTCTCTGCAAAATGAAATGTCCACTAAAGTTGTTTACCATGGGTGTTCACTAGTATTTATATTGCTTCCATTTGTGTGCAAGTTAAACAAACCATATTTGAATTATAGTTTGTATTAACTGTATAAACACTGTTTCATACAATAAACACTGCATTTGATTTGAATTTGTTGTTTTCATAAGTCTGACCTAATTCCAAGATGCCCAAATGATAAATCACTAGAAGACTTATTAAATCCACAAGCTGATATGACCATTCATGGAGAACAAGTAGCATGAATTAATGAAATAAGATTTCAAGATGGCTGTTATAGTGGCAGGTTATACTGGATATTCAAACAGAACTATTTATGTTTAGAACCAACTCAAAATACCAAGAAGTCTTCAAATAAAAAATACAATTTCCACATCACTTTTCATTCAGGGAGTGTAGCAATAACAGTATTTTCAAGATGTCTGACATGATGGCAATGTTGAACAGGAGAAGTAAATATAAAATATTTAACATGGCTACTGTGGCATTTGTATTGGATGTCTGGGCAGCCCCAATTTCATTTATAACTATCTGGACCATGATATGAACATATGTAAAATTTCACAGTAATTCTCCAAGTAGTTCAGGAGATGTAACTATAACAAAGTTTTGGTAATGGATGGACAGATAACAAAGGACAACATGACCAGTAGGGCAAATAACACCTTAAGTATAATAAATCATTCAAAAAGAACATTTTTTAAACAAAAGATATTTTTCTTTGAAACTTTTAAGAGATTTTGCAGCTTCAAAGATCCCAAAGATTTTAAATTTATTATATATAAACTGTTCCTATGTTATTATTTTATATATTTTTTTAAATTTCAAAATTTTATTATCCCCATAATAGGTTGACCATTGGGTCGGGGAACCTTCCCAAGGTCACCTTACAATCAAAATTTCTTGTTTCCAGATAAACTAGGGATAGTAAATATAATCTATATTAAAAGAAAGAAAAAAATAAAAGACAACACAAATATGCACACACTCATGCACACATGCATATGGCACAATGTAGGTACACAAGCTTTAGAAAATAGTGTTTTGTTCCTGTTTACCATCCGATCAGTTACAAATTACCTATTGATCTATTGAGGTCCATTTCTTAAGAAATTGGTCCTCTTTTTTGTTTATCTTAGCAGCATATTTTTCAACATTCTTATACATTACAACTCTCTGCTTAAAAGCATAGATGGAAGGATTTTGCATATTGAATCTGCAAGTATAAATGTAATATTTTCCCAAAATAAGCAAGAAATTACACAAACTGTCCAGTTGTTCACTTCCTAAAAGTATTTCTTTTTTGGACAAATGTACAATATGTGGGCAAGATGGTGCGAAATGATCAATAAAACTGTACCAGGACTGTGAAGTAATATTGCAATCATAAAAGGGATGTTCAATACTTTCATTCTCTCTCTTGCAAAATGTACATTTGTTGTCGTCCAATATGTTTATTCTTTTCAAAAAATCATTAGTAGTGATTATTCTGTGGATTAAACTAAAGTTAAAAGAGATAAATTTGGTATCCTTGGTACAAATTTTTGCCCTGCTATAAATCTCAGACCACTCCACACTACTTATATTTGTATTTAATAATTGCATCCAAGATTCTTGCTTAGCAGTATGTTGCCTTTTAGCCCTTTTTAAAAGATCTTTGTAAACAAACTTGAGTGAATTATATTTTTTCAGATCCATTATTTTATCCTCCTGCCTTTCAAAAATTATTATGTACTAAATGTTTCTTTATGGCTTCTTTCCATGCTTTTGGAATTTTGGATATGAAGGAGAAGTATTTCAAGAAGTCACCTCTTCTAGTTTTTTGTTTTATCATTTCAAATTGCCATGATCATCTATGTGATGTGTCGAATTTTAAAAACTCTTAGATTCATTGGTTAAAGGAATTGTATCAAAGTCAACTTAATTAAAGTAGAAAGGGCTAGAGATAATTAGATGATTATTTTCATTTCATCTCTGAATGTCAAAAGTGAAATTCATTCCAGCCGATGCAACTATGGTACAAGAGAATGACATAAGACCCTTTCCCAAAATCGACTGGTTAAAGGGGGAAGCTTGCCATAAGTGATTGTTCAAAGGAACATTAATTACGTTAATTATGTTAATTATGGCATGATCAGTTGTGTAGTTGTTTTGTCAATCCAACAATTCTACAGGACAGATTTAGGAAACAGTCTACTCCGATTGGTTAATATGGATGTAGGGGCGTAACTCTGTAAGAAATTAAAGGTTTTACTTTAGGAAAATTCTTCAGTCTTCAATCTTTCTTGGGAAAAGTTAGACTGGAATCAGGGAAGAGCGTGAAAGACATTATCTCATGATTTGGCAATGATGATAGAATATTTAAGTTGAAAGTAATTGTAGCCTTTAAAGAAATTTGTATTGTCTTACATGTTAGTACAATTTTCCTTCTTTTGTAACCAAGTAATTGATTTCTTTTCATTTTAAATTCTGTTGATAAACTGATTAAATTTTATATTTGTTCATTGAAAGGGGGCTCATTGTGTTTATTTCTTCAATATACTTGTTCAGTGATATGCATTCTTCTTTCTATCTATCCACACTGGGTAAATTACACCTCAAAGGTCATTCCCTAGCAACGAACCATGGTGAAAGAGGTTGGTATGTTTGAATGATGCTAATTTGTCACAATTACTAGATCATTCAAAATTTCAAAGCCGGCTTCTGTCCAGGATTTGTATTGATAGAACATTCTAGGCAGGATAAAATTAAAAATGCTCATGGATAAGAACTCATTTGCACTTTGTGGTTCCTCTTTCCAATAAGATACTGCCAAAATGACATCTTTCCAAAAACTGTTTTTAATAAGCTTACTAAATTCTTCTAATTTCCTTCTCCCTAAGTTCCAAATATCCTTTTCATTTCTGAGTATAATTGTATTGACTAAGTTCTGCCAAGCTCCATTTTCATTTTTCAACAGTCATTTTACCCATCTTATCTTAATATACCTAATACATAAGAATATATGTATCATATTGAGTCCTCCCTCGTTCTCTGGGGCTACTAATATATCGCGTTTAATTCTCTCTACCTTTTGTTCCTATGTTCATTTAACTTTATTCATCCTAAAGTATATTTATACCCATCATTTTGGTCAACAGGTTCTTTCATGTATTACAGTTAACACATTTGTAAACAAGTAATGCTTTATGAAAATTTATTCAGTCACTTACTTTGTATTGTTTCAATTCATGGTTACAGAGACGCATCCAAATTTAAACAAGCAGTGGCTTCTGAATCTTATTAATGCTTTGCTAATGGATTCTTAGCGAGGTTCCCATACCAACAAAAACGTCAGTACTGGTAAAAATTAGGCATTATCATAAATTATTCAAATTTGATGAATAGGTATGTCCTAATTTACTTAGTTATTTCATTTGTCAGGGATTTACATGTATATTCAACACATTTATTCAGTTTTAAAACATATCCAACTATTCCCACTAAAAGCTTTCTAACACATCCAACTATTCCCAATGAAAGCTTTATACCATATCTAATGTTGCTTTATATGAAACATTTTCAAACGCTGGACTATTCCATTGTAAACTGTCAGAGGAGTTTTCAACTTCTTTGATGAGTCTCTTATGATTCATTTTGTTTGCAAATTATTTATAACAATTTTATTTTGTTTTTACCATAACTTGATATTATATGCAAATTTCCACTTCTGTATATGCCAACAGGTACATGTATGTATAATCAATCAAAAGGATGTACATCGTAGCTAAGCAATCGTTTTGTGATGTGGTTATGGGGTAGGGGAAAGATATTCAATTTATATCTTCATATTTTTTCTGTCTTGATGTAAGCCACTGATAAATACAAAGAAATTTTACTACTATACAGTTTGCACAGGTATGAATCCCACCTGACTGGTGGGGGGATTTATAATTCGGAGTTGGCACTTAATTCCCTGCCCCTCTTTCCACATTCACTGGATTGAGTGGGCAAGTAATAAAACATTATGCTTGTATTGCAGTTGTCATATCATATTAAAAGTTCATGTAACTGTTACAGTGTAGTGAAATTGAATAACATTTATAATAATCATAAATTATCATGCTTCCTACACACACAAAAATTTTCTTCAAAATTTATTTTTACATCATTTAATTTAAAATTTGACTGGTTAGTAGCTTTTTCTAATTACTCACTTTTATTTACTTTAAAAGACATTTCAAAATTCAGAAAAATAACCAAAGTACCTATAATTAATACAATTAATTACTAATTTTCAGGAATTACTTCCATGTTTTACTTCAAAAAGTCCATTTGAATTGTTAAAAGAAATTACTAAATAATAATTTTTCAAGTCAACTGTTTTACTAATTATCAC